CATGAATTGATACTGATCAGATCAAATACTGATCAAAATGCTTATGTTACCGCTGAAGATGAAAATGTAACGATTACAATCCAGACAATTGAGTGGATTGTACCGTATATAACAATGTCTGACAAGCAAAAAATTGAGGTGTTGAATTACATAATCTCTGATCCAGCTATTCCGATCGGTTTCCGGACGTGGGAATTGTATGAGTATTCACTGCTACCAGCTACCACTAAGCATAATTGGGTGATCAAAACAACAAATCAGCTTGAGAAACCTCGTTTTGTCATCCTCGGATTTCAAACAGGAAAAAAGAATCAACTGAATCAAAATACAAGCGAGTTTGACCACTGCAACATATGAGATATTAAGCTCGTCTTGAATTCACAGAGTTATCCATATGGAAATTTGAACCTCAACATTGCGCGTAATCATTATGCCTTAATGTATGACATGTATACTAATTTTCAAAGTGCTTACTATGGAAAAGATGCTGAACCACTATTATCTAAGAAAAATTTTCTTAATGAAGCACCACTGTATGTAATTGATTGTTCCAAGCAGAACGAGTTAATCAAATCTGGGCCTGTCGATATACGTCTGGAGTTTGAATCGTCAGCGCAGTTTCCAAGTCAAACTGCTGCTTACTGTTTAATAATTCACGACCGAATAGTGGAATACAATCCAATCAGCAGCACTGTAAGAAAACTTACTTAATATGGTACAGTTTGATTCCAAACCTACCATACATTACATGTAAATGTGGGACTTTGCATCCAGACAAGCAAGGTCCATGGGAACAAGCAGCAAGAGATAGAGAACGATTTCACCGACGAATACAATAATTAAATAAAATTATTGAACCTGTATTAATTAATAAACTTAATTTAATAATTAATAAAAAACACTTTATAATTTAATGATTATTTATTTATAAAACCTTATTAAAATAATTATTCTAATATACATTAGCTGATAAAAGAATTTATTTAACATTGTTACATTCATAGCAGTCCTTTTTCAATGGATAAGGGTTCTCAAGAACATCATCATACATAGTCCTATAATGCTCTGTACATCTTGTATAATTGATAAATCTTGAATCCATCCTCATACGCTCAGGGAGCTTTGACCATATAGCATTAATTTCATGTTTTGTGAATTGAAGTATAAAAGATTCATCCAAACCGGCAATGTCTTGTGGATCCATCTTGACTAAAGACTGAAGCTGATAAAAAAGCTGTAATGACTTTTCCAGCGATGGATTCAAACCCCAACAGCTGAGAAACCAACGTTTTATTCTTTGCACCGTTTCATACGCACAAGCGTAATTGCGTTTCCTTAAGTGATTTTTCTTCAGGAGACATGGTTGGATAGGATCAAAGTCTTCAAGATGGTTGATAAATCTCATCTTTGATAGATCAATCATTTCAGATGAAAAATTAATTGCCTTTTCAAGCCAACGTTTTTTTTCCTCACTCAAAACATAAATGTATGTTTTGTACTTGAGAGTCTCTCGCAGCACTTCTTCGAGTTCGGTATAGGAGAATGATCCTTCATCCCATTTAATACCATGCTTTCTCAACCAAAAATCTTTGGTCTCCAAGACCATGAATTCATTGGTGTACTCTGCTGGTGGTTTGAAAGTTGCTAGCGCAGCAGAACTAAAAAAATCCACTTCATCACTTAGCGAGATAACAGCAAGCTCTTTGACAATAAAAGATCCATCAAGCGTGTAGAAGCCTTCAAAATCAATAAAAATCTCCATCTTCTCGACTTTAAGTGCTCAAGTTCAAGAACAGAAACTGAATGATGATATCTCACCGAACAGATCGAGGATCAATCCTTACCATGAAAGCACAGTGTAGAGGGGGAAATTGTATAAGATTCTTAGAAGATCGCGTCAGAACAGCCTCCAGATAGCAGATTCACAATTCAAAATGGCGGATAGCAGCCATCAGATGGATCATCAATTAATTTTTCAAGCCATTCTTTGTTTTTTTCACCTTCAACATATAAATAGCTCAAATAACACGTTAAATTATTAAAAATTTCCCCAAGTACATTATACGCAGTTTTACCGACATCCCAGCTAATTACGACGTGCATTATAGTCCAGTTTTGCTTAATAACAGATGCACTAGTAATCATCATTGGAGGCTTAAATAAATGATAGTCACACTCATTAACACCATTGAATTGATATCCATTAGTAATCTTGGTGACACAAAATTCCTTGACTGCAAATGAACCGTTTGGCATAATATAACCGGTAAAAAAAAAATCAATTATGTTTTCCATATTTCACTTTCTTCATAATTGACCAATCAAAGAATTATAAGTGCAGCCTCAATTGGTGGACTATCCAGTTCGTCTTCGGAATATTTATAGCTTATTAATAAAAAGTTTTTCAAATAATAAGATGTTACTTTAACTTTCCTATCACCAATAAAACATTCTTCCGTTATACAAATAATGCTTTCCATAGAAATATCAAAATCACAAAAATCATTTCTCATGAAAACTCCTCTTAAATTTGGAATTGTAACATAGATTTAATTTATTTTTTAACATAAATTTTATTAAAGTAATTGATAATTTATTCTTGATTATGAAGGTTTGATAAGAAATTCAAACTTGTGATAAGCTGTTCCGAAATAATTCAAGTGAAGTTCTCCTGCTGAGGCCAAATCGATCAGTGAAGTTAACTGCTCTTCATCATCAATGAGCATTCGGTTGGTTCGATTCGGGAAGAAAATTGAAAACTCGTTTTCCACAATTCCCAAAATTTTTGGTCCATATTTTGTGTTGACTTTCTTAATTTCCATGATTTGATAAATCTTGTTTAGTTGCAGTTCTTCAAACTATTTACTTGGTAAAAAGTTCGGTAAGTTGTTGATTTTATTGATAGCACTCAAATCCATTTTTGAATTATTAAGCTAAGAAATAGATAGAAAATAGTTAATAATAATAATAGTAGAAATTAGTTATAAAATAGAATAATGAAATAAATGACATACTTAATTTTCTGTAGAGTACACAATTTTATCAAATGACGTAAAAAACATGATGTAATCGAGAGAAAGAGGCTAAAAAACGTTAAAATTCAGAAAAAACTCTTACCCCATGTCGATAAAACAGAACATCTATTCGGTATCAAACCGACTGTCGATAACATAGACCACCAATTGACATCAAACTTACCTCAAATCGATCAATAAACTTCAATACCTCCATTTAATCCCACCAGAGCGGCGTAAGTATCGATGTAATCGAAAGAAGAGGGGGTAAAAAACGTTAAAATTCACGATGACGACGCTAAAAAACAGGTTTAAACTTGTCAGATGACGTAAAAACATGATGTAATCGAGTGAGTAGGGGCTAAAAAACGTTAAAATTCAAAAAACTCTTACCCCACATCGATAAAACAGAACATCTCTCGGTATAATACCGACTGTTGATACTCGCAGTCGATAACATAGATCACTAGTTGACATCATACTGTCGATAAAACTTACCTCAAATCGATAAACAGACTCCAATGCCTACATTTCATCCCACCAGAGTGGCGTTAGTATCGAACTTTCTCGCATATACTTATACTACAAGTCATTTGAATATATATAAAATTCATCATCACATCAAATAAGTGCATATTACATCAACACCAAAGCTGATACACGGCACAGGTATCAGCTCTGCTGTTGGGGTGGTAGCATTTTGACCTCAAACAATCGATCAACAAATCGATGATTATCCCCCAACAGTCGGTAAATATCGATCACCAAATCGATGATAATCACCCCCAACAGTCGGTAAATATCGACCAACAAATCGATGATAATTTCCCACAACAGTCGGTAAATATCGACTACCAAATCGATGATAATCCCCACAACAGTCGGTAAAAAAGAACACAAAAACCCACCATCGATATGGCAGAAACTCCACCAACGACCATCGGCAAGACAGAAAATTAATGCCGATATTGCAGAAATCTACTTTATCGGGGAGTCAAATCCTCCTTGTTCTGCTACTAATTTCGTTTCAGATACTAATGTGATGTCCAGATTGTTCTGTTTGATGAATTGCTCTAGATCGTATCTACGTTATAATTTTATTATAGAATTAACATTTATAGCGGATATTTTTAGTGAGTTGCGTTCCTTTTCCGAGTTGGCTAGATTATTCTTTGGAGATGGTGTTGGTGACTGGTCCATTATTCATAGTTGAATTGTTCTCCAACTAATTCAAAAAGATGGTCGATTCTGTTGGAGTTTTGGTTTATGATGGATTCTAATGCTATTAATCTGTTTGACATATTTTTGAATTCATTTTTTAATTCGTTTACCTGAAGAGGGGTTGACGGTGTGTTGGAGGTTGTTGATTGTAGTACTGTGCTGAGCTGGTGTTCATCGAGCTGCGTGGAGTAGGTTGGTTCTGGGTATGAGGTCTTGTAGATGTTGAGTGTCTCGCTGCCATGTTCTACGGAGTATTTGGATCAATTAATCGACTAATTTCTCTGAGCTGTTTATAGTAATTCTGAATTTTGGCTGAGTTGTTATTTCTTAGTAAGCCGAGGGCATGCTTGTAGTAGATGCAGCCTCTGTAGTTGGCAGGATGTCCATTTTCGCCACAGTTTGCGCATTTGAGGCTACTTTTAGGATCTGAGCTTTTTATGGGGCAGGCACTAGGGCCGTGACTGCCACTACATTTAACACATCTATAGGCCAATTTGCAATTGGTGCTGGCGTGGCCCAGCCTTTGACATTTTTTGCATTGAAATATTTTTTCTCTGCGCAGATTTTCCCACTTGACTACCTGATGTAGTAGCAGATCAATTTTAGTTAGTTCTCTTAGTTCACTGTTGTGTGATACTTGTATTAGAAAGGTTGTTTTTTTCACTTCGTTTATTTTGTTGAAAATTATTTCTGTAACTTTTTCAATTTTGACATTTTCCAGCTTCATAGAATTTCGCTCAGTCAGTACCATGTCCGCTGAGAAGCCGCCATTGACACCTTTTAAAATGATAGATTTGGGTTTTATTACTTTTGGTGTGTAGGTGTAGTGTTCTTGTTTATTAAGTTCCAAAATTTCAAGTACTAATTTATGGGTTGTTAAGTTATTTGTGAGTATGGTGATTGTGTCTGTGGTTGGTTGTCTTAACCTAAATTCTCCCTTCTTAATTTTATTTTCAGTTAGGAGTGTAATTAAATCTATTATTTTAGCATTCGTTACATGTATTGGAGGGGCTCTTTGTTCTTTAGATGCTGATCTGGTGTCTTATTGATCCTGGTGTTGAGTTGTTTGATCCTGGCTATCTTGGGTCGGTGCATTTGTGTCACCTGTTTCCATTAAATCAGTATCCTCCACCGTGGTTGCAAGTACATTATAGGCATTATTGCTATTGTAATTATTCTCTTGTGTTTTTGCTACAGATGAAATTTTTCTTGGATGTTTTGGGATTTTCCATTCATTTTTGTCATTTGTCTCAGGTGTTGCTTAATCTTTATTTTTATTGTGTGGGAGTTAGGCAGGGATAGAGTTGATATAAATTATATGAGAGCAGATTTAATATAAAACGACGTATGAATTTATTCAGTAACTAATTACAACGATAGAAAAAGAATGCTATGACTTGACTCGACAACGTGCTAATAGATAAGTACTCAAGTATACAATAGTACAGCGCAACTGCATGCGCAGTAGATCGACGCGTCAACGTGTGTCAAATCGTCGGAAATCCTGCTTGGATCAGTAGGCACCTAGCCATGTCGACGATCGTACGATTCATGCGCTCTGCGACTCCATTTTGTTGCGGCGTGTAAGGCACTGTTAGTCGTCTCTTAATGCCCTCGTGCCTCAGGTACTCGTCGAATTGTTTATTGCAGTACTCTCGACCATTATCAGACTGCAATGCCTTGATTTTAAGCCCTGTTTGCTTTTCTACGTAATTTTTATACGTCTTAAATGCCTCGAATACTCCGTCCTTGCTCTTCAACAGGTACAGATCACACCAGCCGCTGTAGTCATCTATGAAGGTCACGAAGTACCGGTTTCCTCCTTCAGATTTCGTCCCTGAAGGTTGACATAGGTCAGAATGCACAATTTCGAGCATTCGCTGGCTTTTCTCGGCTCTCGGATAAAACGGCTTTGCCGTCAATTTTCCACGATGACACACGTCGCATGACGTCGTGTCCTTTTTCAAGGGTTTTATCCCCGACGCTTGACCTTTTGACAGGTTAACTACGGCATCCATGTGCAAATGTCCTAACCTTGCATGCCATAGGTCTAAATCCGACGTACTGGCTCTTTCCGACGCCCTTTCCACTGCCTTGACTTGTTCCGCCTGCTCCCGTAGGTAATACAGGTCTCCTATGCGATCAGCGGCTAACTTCACCTCTCCATTCAGGTCCCTGACGATGGCGTCGTCCTTCCTGAATAAAATCTCTCGGTCGTTCCGAGTGATTTTCGATACGGAAATTAAATTAGTCCTCAGATCTTTAACAAGTAAGGTATTGCGAAGATTTAGATCAATATTACCTGTGTCTGTCTTCACCTTGATGTGAGCAAGCCCTTTTGCTCTCGCCTTCGTCGATGCTGCATTCGTCATGTTCAACGTCATCTCACACTCCTGGATATCAGTCAGGAATTTGTCGCTAACACACATGTGCGTGGTACATCCACTATCTAAGCACCACCTCGACCTTGAAGTCACGTTGTGGGCCTCCTCAGGTTGATCCACGACGTAGTGAGTCTCTTCCGACGATTCGACGCTCCTCGCAGAATTGTGTTGTCGTTCAGGGCACTTAGCTGCCCAATGACCAATTTTTCCACATATGAAACATGGTTTGCTATTTTTCGACTTAAATTTTCTCTGTTGCGGCTTCCTTCCATACCGATTGCCTGCATACAGCACGTTGTTGTCCTCTGCCGATTCTACAGATCTCCTACTTCGATTTTCATCGAGTATTTTCCCAATCAGCGCCCCTGTAGTCGGTAATTCGTCGTTTGGTCTAATCGCACACTGAAAATTCTCGAAGCTTGGTGGTAAACTCTTCAAAATTAATACCACGAGCATATCACTTGGAATTTTGATGTTCATACCTTCTAACTGCCCGACGGCGTTCGTAAAGCTGTCCAGTCGTTCCCGAAAATCATCCTCCTCGTCGATTTTGAAAGATGTTATCTCTGTCAGCCACTCAATTTTTTTCACTGGGCCTTTCGACGCGTGAATTGACTGCAGTTTTTCCCATATTTCCTTCGACGTGTTGCACTTTGTGATCGTCTCCAATTCGGCGTTGCCAATCGACAAGATAATGTCCGCTTTGGCCTTCTCGTCGCCATTTTTCCACTTCGCGATTTCTCTTTCCGTAGCGTTACTTCCAATCGGATATGGTATTTCGCCACTTACATAACCCCATCGGTCATGTTTCACCAGGATGGACTTCATCCTCAATTGCCAGACATCGTAGTTACGTTTGTCTAGTAACTCGATACGCGACGCTCTGTCCACCATGTTTGGTTAGCTAATTTACGACCACGTGTTCACGAAATTTTTACTCGACGATTTTTATTTATTAATTCTCACTTCTTTATTATTTTTATATATCACTCACTTACTTTCTCACCACTGGGCCCATAACCTGTGGGAGTTAGGCAGGGATAGAGTTGATATAAATTATATGAGAGCAGATTTAATATAAAACGACGTATGAATTTATTCAGTAACTAATTACAACGATAGAAAAAGAATGCTATGACTTGAATCGACAACGTGCTAATAGATAAGTACTCAAGTATACAATAGTACAGCGCAACTGCATGCGCAGTAGATCGACGCGTCAACGTGTGTGAATATAGTGTACGTGCGAATATTACTATATTACTATATCTCCAACATATTGTTTAGACTTTCTCTGCTGGCAGAGAGGTTGGGTCTGAACTTGTTTATATTTAGGTTGGCTGGATTGGTACCATAATCTTTCATGAATTTTTTAAAACTTTTCTCAATAGATTCCGTGGATAAATTAGTGATTCTTTTGGTTGAATGTTTCTTTGTAATTTTGCTGTGTGGCTCGTTCAGAATGTTTGAGTCTGTTTTTCGTTTGACGTTTCCGGCCATGTTGGCCGTTGCGCCGGGTGTTTTTTCTTTATTTTTATCATTCACTGTGATTTGATTCAGCACTGATTAATAAAATTTTGTAATCACTGTCACTATTAAATATCACTGCGTACAGAATTATGATTAGTTCTCACTTTTTTTATATGTTTATATTGAGAATTGCGGTTAATTTCATAAGTAATGTTATGTATCGATGCGTCTACTCTCGCGGCTATTGCGCAACTCGTGAGCGCGGGGATCGAACCGGGGACCTGACGCTTTAAAGACTGACGCGCTACCTGTTTACCTACTTGAGACTTACTTGTTGAGCTGAGTTTGAAGTAACTACAAGTAATGCAAATCGTAAATATAATCAATTTTTATAAGTTAACTAAATTAATGCAGTTCTTATTATTTCATCTACAAAAAATACTATAGATCAATAGATTATTAATGATTGGAGTAGCAGACTCTGAGATAAAAAAATTAAATACAATTATATATGATTCATATGTAATTATATATGATTTCCGTATAGTTGCACTGATAGAAGGATTTGTTTATATTTAATAAGCTTTATTAACTATTAATAAATGATTTTTTAACATCATAGGATTTAATTAATATTTATTAACAGTTAATAAATTATTTATTAAATACGATTCATTAAATGTTAATAAATAATTGTTAACAGTTAACAAATATTTGTTAACTATTAATAAATGTACTTTCCTCCCAAATGAATATTTATTAAATGTTAAAAAACATTTATTAAAATTTAATAAATTAAAAAATTGTCTTCAAACAAATTAAATTTCTAATAGTTCATAAATCCTATTATCAGTTTACATATCATTATATATAATTTTATATAATCATATATAATTTCATATAATCGGATATAATAATGTTTGTAACTTTTTTACAATTCTATAGAATGGCGGCCGTTGGGCGCCATGTAACAAAGCTGTTCCCCAAAATTTAACCAAATTCGACCGGTGGTGGAGGTACCGACTAGGTAGAGTATTTTACGCTCCCCCTTTCTTAAATATATAATAAAATCAACCCGGAAACTCCTCAGGCTGGGTTAGTGCACGATAGGACGCCAGGTAATTGTATCTAAAAATTACCAAAAATAATCAAAATTCCAGGGGCCTCGCCAGACGGTCAATTAACGATTTAAATTAATGCAAATGGAAAATAAACCACGAAATAATTAAAGCCAGGATTAGTACATAATTTAGAATCAGAAATAATAAATAATTCATTAAATCTGCGTTCGATACGTTGGACAGAAGTGAATTAAGTGTGGCTATGAGGAAGAGAGGAGTGAGCGAGGGTCTAGTGAGAAGATGTGAGGTAGTTCTGAGTGAAACGTGTGGACGTGTGAGGATTGGCAAGGAGCTAGGAGAGAGGTTCTGGACGGAAAAAGGAGTAAGACAGGGGTATCCATTAAGCCCCCTGCTCTTTGTACTGTTTTTAGCGGATCTAGATGAAGAACTGGAAAAGGGAAGATGGGGTGGAGTAGAGTTATCCGGGGGAAAGAAAGTGCTCTCTCTAGCTTACGCGGATGATATAGCGCTGTTGGCTAAAAACGAGGATGAAATGAAGGGGATGATAAGGACACTAGAGAGATTCGTGGCGAGAAAGAAGTTAGAGGTGAACGTGGGGAAGACTAAGATCATGAGATGCAGGAAAGGAGGAAGCAGGAAGAGAAAGGTGAGATGGAACTGGGACGGAGAAGAAATAGAAGAAGTTGATAGGTATACGTACCTAAGATATGTAATAAGGTGGAACGGAGATCAAGGAGAACATGTGAGAGAGAGGGCAGCGAAGGGAGCGAGATTATTGGGACAAATCTGGGGGCTAGATAAATGGAAATTTGGGAGTGATTGGGCTAGAAGGATATGGCTATTTGATAGGTTGGTTTGGTCAGTGATGAGCTATGGACTAGAGATTTGGGGATGGAAAGGTAGAGAGGAAATGGAAAGAATTCAGGAAAGATACCTAAGATGGGTGCTCGGGGTCTCAAGAAGGGTGGGGGGTTACTTGGTGAGAGAGGAACTTCAGAGAGACCAGCTAGAAAGTAGAGCAGGACTGAGGGCTTGGAGCTATGAGAAAAGAATAGAGGGAGGAGGTGGGTCAATTGCGTGGAGATGCAGGATGGAAATGAGAAAGAGAATAAGGGCAGGAAGAGGTTTGGTCGGCTGAGAAGCGGAAAGGGGAGGCTTTTACGAGGATAGAGGGCAGAACCTTATTGAAGTTGAAAGGATGTGGGAAGAGGGAGACATGAGAGGAGAAGAGTGGGTAAAAATGGACAAAAGGAAGCAAGAAAAGGAGAGATGGGAAAAAATCTGGGGGTCAAGAAGCAACAGTGATTATAAATTCATAAAAGGTCCAGGGATTCCGGTTCACCTTAAAAAAGGATGGAGTGAGGAGAGGTGGAGCAGGTATGCTAGGTTTAGACTAGGTGACTGTTTGAAAAGGAATAGGTACTGGGAAGATAGGGATAACAAACTTTGTAATGTTTTCGGGTTGGAGTTGGAGTCATGGGAGCACGTATGGGAGGTTTGTTCAGGACTAGGGGTGGAAAAAGGATGGCAGGAGATGAGGGTTGAGGTACTAGGGGAGGATGGGCAAGGGGAAAATTGGCTAAAGAGTATAGAAATGCTTTAGGGAACAGCGGGTTGGAAAAAGTAAGAAGGGAGGGTAACGTAGAATCAATGGCTGCGGAAGCGGAAGTCTCTGGTTGTGTGTAAGATAAATGGTGGAGAGAGTGAGTTGAGTGAGGCGATTTTTTTTCTTTACACCAAGGTGGTTTCTTTTTTTCTCGCCAACTAGGATAAAGATAAGGATGTGTAAGGAAATATTATAGTGTGGAAATATTATAGTGTGGTTGAATGGAAACTCTGTATGTATAGATATAAGTTAGCAAGTAGTGTTTTAAGTAAATTTTTGGTTGTATCTTTTTTAGTTTTAAGGATCTATTTGTTAGCGGAACAGGGTCCGCATTTGTACCCCTGAAAAAAGGGCAATTAATAAACTATTATTATAAATAATTCATTAAGAAATGGTATTTCAAATTATTTAGCTAAAATAGGAAAATGAGTCATAGGAAAAGAATCTAGGAAGCAACTTACATAAATTAAACAATTATTAAATCAGCAAATAAAAAAATAAACAAACAATTTATTCAGAACGAAGTTACTTAAAACTAAATCTATTTTCTTAATAACAAATTAAATCCTTTATGGAGTTTCTGATTAATATATATAACTTTTTCTTCAACTTAACTTATAATATTGCGTTCGAGAATAACAATAACCGCAATCAAAAACAATAATCTTAACAATGATCAAAATTTGATAATATCAAAGACAAGTTATACTTGAAAAATAACAAAGATATAATAATAATTAATATTCGACAATACTAATAATAAGTCACGCTCGAGTAATCATAATCATAATAATAATTAATATTCAATAATATTAACTAGCTGTTACCCGCCCGCTCCGCTGGGCGTTAATATAATTGTATTTTTAGATTTAAACTTAAAATTTAATTGGAGTATTTCATTGACTTACAGAGATTCAAAAGTTAATCGAATTGGCATTTAGCTTTTATCCATATGATCATTCTAGCTCATATTTATTGTAACTTTCAATGTGCAATTAATATAACATTCCCGTGGCTTTTTTCAAAAAATGAATAATTATTGACACGAAGAAAAAAATTCGAAATGAACATTGAAACTTTCAGTTAAAGTTATTGTAGGTCTCATAAGTGAAGTTGAAATCTGCCTAGTTCAAATTGCAGTGAATTTTACTGTTAATTGAAATTTCCTCCGTAATAAGAACAATTCATCGGTTAGTGATCAGCAAAAATAAAATATATGTTAATCTCTTAGTCCGCTGACTGAATAGCTACATACAACGTAAAACTTTGGAAACCTTATTATGAATTTTTACCCGCTGCCAAACAATCGATTGTCGTAAGAAAATATAATTATTAAGAATGAAAAATATTTAAATCGGTTGACCTTGGAGGCCATCCCAGTGATTTCCTGTTTCTCTTAAGATTCTATCAAATTTTATATCTGTAGGAACAATATGAATTTATTGGCAATCATCACTCCCGCACTACTAGGTAGAGGAGAAATTTCGTAAAATCCTATTCGAGATGATTTCTACATTATAAACAAAAGGTTCCAACAAAAGTTCGAGGTCATAGAAACTATTGTTTGAAAATAAGAGATTTTTATTGTTAACGCACCCGCAATTCCTTTTGGAGTTGGAATTCGAGAAAAGCCATTCTTAGGTAAACTTGACATCATACACGAAGATTTGTACCAAATTTAAAGTCTGTAGAAATTACAGTTTGGAAATAGAAATTTAATATTTTAACACCCACCC